TTGATAGTGTTACCCAGCCAAGTGGTTTGTAGGCTGCTCTGGAGAGAAGTCACCACAAACACAGGGAATTGTGTTGATTAGGAGGGAAAATGTCTCTCTGGCATCTTACTGAGGATAAGAAGGATGGGTCTGCAGACTCTGTGTTCAGAAGTTCTGCTCTTAAAGCAGCACTGAGGGCAAAGCTTTGCATTAGCCCTCCTTGTGCTGCTGCTTCTTGCTGACCATGCTGTCCTCTGGTTTCAGTCTACGGCGTGGAGCTGCTCCTGAAGACCACTGGGCTGGGGCCTGTTGAGTACCTGTCCTCAGGCTGGAATCTGTAAGTGCCCACTGATGTTTTGGAGAGAGAGGTGGTGAAAATTGTTGGCTTATAAAACTTGACTTTGAGATGAGTTTTTAGGCCTGTAGACAAGGCCATCAGCAGTCTATTAGAATTCTTCTGCCCTTGTGCATCCTTTTGGGCTGGAAAAGCACCAGGGGCCTCTTCTCTGCTGAAGCTCTAGTGATAAATCATTGCTCTTCCTTTATATTATGTTTTTCTTTCCAGATTTGACTTCTCAGTCACCCTGTTTGCATTTCTGGGGCTGATGGCCCTGGCATTCAACATGGAGCCCTTTTACTTCATCGTGGTCCTGCGGCCTCTTCAGCTGCTGAGGTGAGACAGGAGGGCTGGGGGGTCACAGAGGGGAGATGGGGAAGAAAACAGCCAGGCTTGTATTCCATCAATCCAGTTGGGAACCAAGTTCCTCAGCAGGAGAGGCCAAGGATTGCTCTGTGGGTAGGTGACCATGGCAAACAGGACTTGCGTGGGGTAAGGAGATTAGCCAGAGTTATCAAAATGGATGATAACAAAAACTTGGGCTGGGATATGAAACCCTGGGCTTTGGAGCTTAAGCTGATCTCTAATAGAGATCAAGGGATTTACCAGGGGCAGATTATCCTGTGTCTGCCTTCGTGGGGTTCTTACACCTCCTCTAAATTGTCTGATGCTGCTCGGAGAAAAGCTCTTCTGTCAGGGTGAGCCAGTTTAATAATTTCCATTGAATTACCAGAAATTACAGTTTTCAAAGGATGCTGCTTTCTGGGGTGAAGTACAACCCTGCCCTAACTGTGTCTCACACAGTGACCTGTAACCTCTCTGCAGCTCAAGTCAGATGGGTCTGATTAACCCTCTCATTTCGAGGCTGCTCTGGGGTCCATTCACCTTTGCAGAGCACTCAGGAGAGCCACAGGGGGAAGGCATGTGAAGCAAAATGTTGTTTTGTTAAAAACAAGCTCACGTCATTGAGCTCTTCAGTGAGGATTTAGAGAACGTTTTATGACACTCAAGGGGGAAGGAAAAAAAAGAAAAAAGATGTTTTCTCTGTTGCTCCCCTGCCAAAGCCTGTGTTTGGCAGCTGTGTTTCTCTGCAAAGGCTGATTGAGTTGCCAAAGCTTAAATTAGCAGGCACAATGTAGTTTTCTTTCATCCATTTTTACTGGGTCATGGGGGAAACACAGGAAAGTTTGTGTCTGAGGAAGGCAGTAGTGAATCCTGACCCTGTCCATAGGACTGGTTGAAGTTCTTCTGATTTTATTGGTTTTGAAATAGCTGTTTGTGCATCATGCTGCATAAAAAGACACCAGACTTTTCCTTGAGGTTCCTCAGTCCTGTAAATACTGAGTTGGGTGTGTCATAAAGATTCAGATGGGACAGCAGGGCATGGTGAGCAAGTGATTTTGGTGTCAGGAAACCTTCCTGTTTGTTGCCCTGGGAGCTATGGAGGACTGAGATACTCTCTTTCACTATTTCCAACCCCAACAGCAGGGAAGTTGCAGTGTGTAGTTAACTGCTGGCTCCTCCTTTCAGGCTCTTTAAGTTGAAGAAACGTTACAGAAACGTCCTGGACACTATGTTTGAATTGTTCCCCAGGATGGCCAGGTACTAACTTCTCCTCTTTGGTGATGGTGGGGAGAGGGGAGTCAAGGTTTAGTGTCTAGGGCTGGGGTCAGGATACCCTCTCAAGGTGTTTATGCTCTGATCTGGCAATAGACTGTTACTGATTCTTCATTGTGCTGCAGTGGGGTGTTAATCTTCCCATTTCTTGGAGCACTGTGTGAGAAGCAACACTCCAGCACCCTGGGCCTCCTCCTGCTTTTCTGTTAGGAGGAAAACAGTCAATGCTTTGTTTAATTTTTCTCCCCCACCTCAGCTTTTGGTGAGAGGGGAGAAGCCCATTTGGGAGAAACACTGGCATGAATATCCTCAGGCTCTGATGTTTCCCTGTCCTTAGTACAGCCACTCGAGAGCTTTATTGTGAAATGGTGGGGCAGAAGGAGCTTGGTGTTTGAGTGGGGCATCCTCAGGCCTTGTTCCCCTGAGGGAGGTCTGAGCAGAGCATGTCAGCTGGAGAGCCCTGTCCTTGGCATAGTCCCTGCACCCAAGGACGTGGAGAGGGCACAGTGTCGTTCTTCATGAAAGAAACTGTGGAGAGACATTTGTTCACCAGAAAAAGGCAGACTGGGAGGGAATCCAGCCTGCTCTTTAGTTTCTCTCCTCAGTGAGTGGCAAGCTCCTTGTCCAAGGACTTCTTGAGTGAGAGCTGGCAACGGACTGCAGTGGCAGGGAGGGTGGTCTGGGGTTTTCAGGGCTGCTTCCCATCCATGGGAAACTGCTTCCAGAGCAACCAGCCTGTCACTTTTGTGTTTCCCTGCCCTAGCAACTCTTCAGTAGCACAGTACTCTTTCTGTTTTTGCCTCCAGCCTGGGTTTAACCCTGCTGATCTTCTACTATTGCTTTGCCATCGTTGGCATGGAGTTCTTTGCTGGCATGGTCTACCCAAACTGCTGCAAGTAAGTACCACAAATCCATCCCCTCTGCAGTGGCTTTGGTGCACAGCCAGTAACAGGGAGCTCTGGCAGCTCCATCTCCCTGTGGAGAAGGGGCCAGAGGATGGGTCTGAACGGGGTTTTGCAGCTGAGGCAACATGCTGTGAAAACCTAGGAGGACTCTTCACTTCTTTAGGTGAGATGGGATGAAATGGCTTTTGAGTCGCATTTGGAAAGGGAGAGGTTGGCTGGTTTTATGGAGCTCTGTAACTAGCCTCAGGTAGCTGCACTGAGAGGACTTCTTTGTGTTACCATGGCTGGAAACTCTTGTAGCATCTGCTCTAGAGTCAAGTTGAAGTTCTTACCTTGGGGATGCCAGATCTTACCTTGGTGATGTCCGAATTGCTTGGCCAGACATGTTAGGTATTTAGGCTTCACTTGGTACCAAGATAAATTCACCTGGTCTTGGAAGCTAAGCTCTTCTGTGCCCTTTTTATCTTAAGTGGAACATAAATTTGGGAATGCCAAGCTTTTGGTGTGAGCCAATGAGTCTAACTCAAACACTTAGTTTCCCTGGTGTGATATTTCCTGAATTATTAGAAACACTCCGTGTGCTCCCTGGGCTTGTGCTGAGCTGTGAAGGAGGGAGGTTTTCTTTCAAAGAAAAATGCAACTGTTGCTCAAGAGGCAGAAACTACCACCCTGCTCACCCTCTTCTGAGTGGTTTTGGCATTTATAACACCATGAGATTTTCCTTTTCTCTCCCTGACCAGCACAAGCACGGTCGCAGATTCCTACCGCTTCCTGAATCACACGGTCGGCAACAAGACGGTTGTGGAAGAAGGTTATTACTATCTCAACAACTTTGACAACATTCTGAACAGCTTTGGTAAGGGCAGTTTTGTCCAGAGCAAAGACTATTCCTTAGTGCATCCGTGTTCCTGCAGAGCTGGCTGGCAGGGCTGTGAGGCTCATGTGAGCCAGAGTCCTTCTAACACACCTCAAACTCTTGGCATCCTCTTTGTATCTGGAGAGCTCCAGCTGACTTAGGTGTGTCATGACTGGTTTGCAAGGTACACAGACATCTCTTCAAAGCCCATGTGAAGCCAGCAGATCTGTTCAGACTTCCTGAGGTGTTTAAGGAGGGCTTTAAGTCACTGCCCTTCTCAAGAACCCACAGTGATGCTAATACATTTCTTTAAACCACCTGATGAAGAATAATTTGAATGTGTTGATTGCTGTCTGTGATTCTTCTTCATGTATGAGCAGAGGTGCTTATCTCCTGGAGATTTCAGAGGTCTCCATGCTCTCTGCTGGAAAGAAGCAGATCTGTTTCAGATTGTTTTAAGAAATGCAGATTAAGCCATGCTGCTGGTGCTGTGGGTCTAAGTTTTTTTTTCTCCCCTCGTGCACAGTGACACTGTTTGAGCTGACAGTCGTCAATGACTGGTACATCATCATGGTAAGTACACCTCAGCTCCCTTGGGTCTAGGGACACCATGGACTCTTTGCCAGTTGAGCTACATCTTCCACACCACCACTGCTTTCTTCTCCTGGTGACTGGAGATGGGCCCAGGTTGTCACTTGCTGTTGCCAGGCTTCTTTTGGTCCTGATGGTTGGGTGGCATTTCACCCCTGGCCTGCTGCTGGACACATCTGGTGGATCTTCACCAGCCTTCAGGACAAAAGAAGTCACTCTGCATTCCAGCTTGTCAGCCTGCTGTCCAGGATGTGTTCTCCTTGCAGCAATGGCTCTTACAGCCATGAGCTTTAGCTGTTCTGTCTGCTTGTATGGAGGAACTGCTCATTTTAGCTTGGAAATGAGCTGCAAGGACTAGTTGGGATATTGGACAGTCAGTCCCTGGAGCTAACTGTGGGTGAGAGATGGTGTTCATGCTGCTTTTTCTGTTGGCAGGCAGTTAAAAGCAGACTCTCCCTTCTTCTGTGCACTACTGACTTCTTTCCTCTCCTCTTTAGGAAGGGGTGACATCCCAAACCACTCACTGGAGCCGTCTTTACTTCATGATCTTCTACATTGTGACCATGGTAGGTTTCTGGACATGCTTTGTGTGTGAAATAGTGGGGATGGGGAGGGGAGACAGATTTTACTGTGTTCCAGAGGGAGTTTCAGTCCCTAAATAAGGACAACTTTGCTCTTCTACACCAACATCTTCCAGAAGGAGGTGTGAGTTCACATCACTTGCAGAAAGTTGAATTTCTGGGCATTGACAAAGCTGATGTTGCACAAATCTGAGCCTGGGGTGAGGACTGGGGCAGCACATGAGTTCTGGGGTGTCCCTCCTGTGGTTGCCTGGGAGCAGTTCACTCACAGGTAGATGTGTGACGTGGGCATCCCCTCTGCCACGGAGGAGCTGAGGGGCCTGGAGCTGGAGCCACAGACCAGATAAACTAGTGAACTGTCAGAATGCCCCAGCAGCAGCCTCCTGATCTCTTCATGTCCTCTTCCAGGTGGTGATGACAATCATTGTGGCTTTTATTCTGGATGCTTTTGTCTTCCGGATGAACTACACACGGAAGAACCAGGATTCAGAAGGTCAGAACCAAGGGCTGGTTGTGTCTTCTCTCCCTGGTGCCTCAAGTCTCTAGGAGAGAATGGGACTGGCCAGCAAAGTACAGATTTGTTTTTCTCAGCCTGACTTTCTAAGCTTATTCATGTGCTTTTGTGTGATATTTCTATCCAGCCTTTCTGCTCTGCCCCTCATCTCTCCCCCAGTGCTTCCCAAAACCTTTGTGTGTGTGTGTGGTTGTTTTTTTTACATATATGTGCACACACACATAATAAACTTCAACTACTTGAGCCATTTCAACCAAAGATAGGAAGTCCAGCAACCACGTAGCAAAGCTCAGTGTGAGACCTTTCAGGAAGGGAAAGTGATTGTCCTTTTCAAACCAATTTCCCTTCCTCACTGACATGCTCAGTGACACCAACATGTGTCTCCAAGTCCAGCATCCAGGCACCGAAATGCCAGATCCAAATGGTTTTCCAGCACTCCATGACATGGAGGACAACAGTTGCTTTCCACATCTCCCAGTTGGACTTAGACTGGTAACTACATGCTGGTCTTGGACATGCCTTCCTGTCCCCTCACCCCTGGGAGCCACCAGTTTTACTCACTGTCCTTTGTCTCCTGAGCTGAGTGTCTAAAACCACGTGTAACTTCACAACCTGCTCATTTAGGTGTCATAAACACGTTAACCTCTTGCAGCCCTTTCCTGCTACCCCTTCAGGTGATCTACACCCAGAGTTTGCAGGTCGTTCTCTGTGCAGACTCATCTAAATAATTCTTTACCCATTTTTGCAGGAAGGAGATGTAACTGCTGCACTCTCACCTTTCATACCAGAGAATCCTCCCTGCAGAAACGTGATGAAGGCCCCAGCCAGGGGTGTAGCTTTGATCAGCCCCTCATCTTAGCTGCCAGAAGGTCACATTTGTGTGGTGCAGGGCCTGTAGGAGCCAGGTGTGGTTAGTTACAGACACACTTGTCCTGGTGATCCCTCCTGCACCCAGTTTGGAGGGTGCAGTGGAAGATCTTTTTATAGCACTGAACTTCCAAGCCGTGTTAGGCAGTTGAAGGTCAAAAGGCAGCAACTCCTGTGTGGGTTGTTTGCTCTGCTAGTTAATTTACAAAAAGCTACAAGGGTTCGTTTTGTTTTTTTAAGATACTGAGGAGCCTGTTGATTTAATTATCTTAGATGCTTCTTAACTTCTTCCCTGCCTTGTTGGGAGACAAGGACATGCACACTCTAGTAACAGCAGGAGGTACAGACTGTGCTTGACATCTGGCTTGGTCCTGTGTGCTGTTAGGCTTTTCCTTCCTTAGGATTATCACAGTGGCTGATGAAGCAATGATCATCTTGGAGACTTGCTTTTCTTTCCTCTCCAGAAGACAATGGCATTGTGCTGGAGAAAGAGATCTCCAAGGAGGAAGTGGTTGGCATCATTGAGCTCTACAAGAGGAGCTCGGCTGCCGTCGACACGTCTCAGCTGCAGAAGATCGTGTTGCAGATGGACAAATATGGGGTGAGAGGAAACCCTAAACTGAAAGTTCTCAGCTTCAGGGGAGGGAGGTGTGCCAGGACCACAAATGCCTCTTTTTGCTGTCTTAAAAGAGAAGTTGCACATGTCTTTGTAGCGTTGAGGGCTGAGCTCCTGGAGGGACTCGGCAGCGTCGCCACAACGTTTTGCTGCTCTGGGGCCCACAGGAAAGCTGGGGAGGGGCTTTTGACAAGGGTTTGTAGTGAGAGGACAAGGGGGAATGGATGAAAACTGCAACAGGGGAGAATTAGGGTAGACATTAGGAAGGAGTTCTTTAGTGTGAAGGTGGTGAGACTCTGGCCCAGGTTGCCCAGGGAAGCTGTGGCTGCCCCATCCCTGGCAGTGTTGAAGGGCATGTTGGATGGGGCTTGGAGCAACCTGGGCTGGTGGGAGGTGTCCCTGCCTATGCAGGGGGTTGGAATTAGATGATCTTGAAGGTCTCTTCCAACCCAAACCACTCCATGATTCTATGAAAAGTAGCAGCTGAATTTCCCCTCTACTCTGACAAAGACTCGTTGCTGTTGCTGCAAACTTCACTTTGAGCTGTCCTGACCCTCTGCTGAGTGGAAAAAAGTAGTTTTCCTCTTCTCTAAGGAAGCCACTGTCTTGTAATTCTTTCACCTCTCTCTGTGCCATCATACCCTTAGGCTTGGACAGTCCTGAAACATGATGCAGCAATCTGATGGTATTGATTCCAAACACCAGGCTTCCTTTCTCTATGGCATTGCTTACATTTCCGTTCTAAAACAGGATGGATAATTGGAAAAATGAGCTGACCTGGGTAACTGCTCGTGTCTCAGAACTCTTGTCTCGTGCATCTGGGAAGAGCTTAAGTGGTTGTTTTAATAATAGCCATTATATTCTTGTATCACCACTACAAACTGCAGAGTCTAGAGTCTCTCAGACGACCTTTATTTGTTTTGGTTGGCTTGGTGGACAAAGGCTGAGCTCTTGTTACACAGACAAAATTCAAAATAACAGTGTGGGTACTGACCAGAAGCAGCTTTCAAGACAATAAACCAAAGGAGGGTGCTGTCCTCAGCCTTACTGTGGAGCACAGCATGGTGATGCCAGACCTGAGGTTTCTCTTGAGTCTCAATCTGTTTTAGTAACTCACATGGTCAGAGAGTAACTCAGACTTCAGCTCTGCTGACAGGTTTTGAGAAGTCCAGGCTTGTGGAGTAAATGATGTGGTCTAGAGAAGTGGGACCTGATTTTTTTCTTAGATGAGAACTGATTTGGAAACTTGGGTGTGAGCCTTGTTCCAGGGACAGACACCCACCCCTGACAGACACATCCACCCAACCTGCAGCTCCCTCTGTAGTCCCTGGGGATCTGCTCTGGGTGATTTGTCTCAGCCTGCATTAGTTTGGGTGATGTGCACCTAATGCCTTCCTCCTGGGACAGGATAGCCCAGGTTCATCACTGGCAGCAGGAAGGACGCCTGAAGTTCACAGGACTGATCCTGTGAGCTGCTCAGTGACTGATCAGTGTCTTTATTTGTTGTTTTTTCCCTCCTCCTTCCCCCAACTCTTTAGCAAATGTCAACAGTGTTTCTGGGACGCAGATCAAGGACCAAGAGTGATTTGAGTATGAAGATGTATGAGGAGGAGATCCAGGTATGTGGGCCTGAGCTGGAAATACCAGCAAGTCTCTGTGGAGGGCACAATAACTGCCTAGAACAACAAACCATCCTCTGAAAGACTCAAAGCTGCCTTCCTCCAAGACCCAGGCAGCTATCAGCTCTGTGAGGAGGGTAGGCAGCAGATGAAGTGTGGATGAGATGGAGCTGTCCTTGCTCTTCTGAAGCCACAGGAGCCTCCTGGGTGGGTGCAGGTGCCTGGCTGTGCAGGTGTGTGTCAGCTGAGTCACACTCAGGGTGTTTGTGGGGCTGAGCTCACTTGGTCTCACCAGGTGTTTTGCTGGGCTCTGAGCACGTGCCTGGTGCATTCCAGAGCACTGATTCCTTAAGCCAGTGGAATGTGGTTGTGTTTGAGTTTGGGTGTGTCTGTGTGACACAGGAACCAAGTGTTCTTCCAGGCTGAGTACTCCTTGGTGTGAGCAGGGCTGCCTGGCTTTCCCTCACATGGGAAACATTTCTTCAGCTGATTTCCTGGAAAATTCCTGCTAGTGCCCTGCATGCTCAGGAGCTTAATGCCATGGACTTGGTCACTGCAGTGCCTGACAGACCTTCACCATGAAGGTCATGGGCTAACATAGTGGTTAGTACTGCAAGAATTAATCTTGTAACTCTTGAATCTCTCCTTTTTCCCTTGGTCAGCTTAGTATGGGGATGAACCCTCAGTCCCCCTAACAAAAATAATCTTGTTACTTTCCACGGAGCTGGGTGGGAACCTGCAGAGAGGCTCCTCCTCTGTTCTGCTTGGTCTCTGATTCAGGGATGTAACATGTTGTGGGTGCTGCCCAGGATTGGGAGCAACACTGCAACTCCCAAAGTTGATGGGGACATCAGCACTAGAGTCCTAGACATTCAGGAGGGACATCCTTGCCCAGGTTGGTCCAGTTCAGCCAACTGGGGCTGAGCCACAGCTGCTACTTCTTGCTTGGACCACCAGTGGCAAGTTCTCCATGCATCCATCACTGCAGTGCTGCATCCAGCCAGGTTGTTCCAGGAGGTTAGGAGCCATCCAGGGCTTGGGAAAGAGCCTCTCTGTCCCTGAGCAGATGTGCTCCCTTCCCAGGGCAGAGCAGCCCAAGGGTCCTGCTGGGGTCTGCCGTGGGGCACGGCCTGATCCTGATTTGTTTGATCTCCCCTTGTAGGAATGGTATGAAGAGCATTCCAGAAAAGAGGAATCCCAGCCACCACTGCAAGAGCCTGCAGCTGCTTCCAACAGCTCTCTGAAGCCCCTGAGCCTCCGACAGCGCTCCCAGACTGTCATTTAGGCCCAGCTAACACAGCCAAACCTTCTATGCAATAACCTAGAGTATAACTTCACAGCTGCACCTCGGGGTGGCGTGGCTTGATCAGTGCCCTGTTCAGCTTTAGGGTTTCAATCTTCTCCCCCAGGCAGTGAATTGCTGACAAACCAGAGGCCCAGGGGACTGGGTAGGGCTGCTACGCACAGGCTGAGCATGATGCCCGTGCTCAGCACAGAGACCTTCCTGGGAACCCCATTCCCAGCTCTTTGTCTCACCACTAACAGACCTTGGGGAAAGGGAGATGTCATCCATGAGCAGCAGGAAATGTGCTGAAGCCACCTGCTTGCTATTAAAACTTTTCCCCTTTTTGAAGATCTCTTTTGCTTAAAGGGTACCATTCCCCTAGGAAGAAGAGATCAGGGAGTGAGTTTTTGTTTCTTCCCCACCTCCCTTATGCAAAGAAGGGGAAATTTCAGCACTTTTGGAAGAGCAGTCTGCCTTTCCCCTCCTTTTTGGCACACCTAGATGCACTCCCTGTAGTAGACCCAGCTCTAATTATGGACTTTAGCTGTTTCTGAGCAGTTCTGTGGCAGCTGGAGACAGAACTAAGGGCCAGCATCTCCTCATCATTAGATCATAGGTGGGACAGGAGTCTGAGGAGATGATCTGTGTCTCTGCTGTCCAACGTTGGGACTGGGATTGTCTCTGTAAACTCCAAAGCTCCTGCCCCCCTTCAGTGAGAGGGAGACTCTGCAGGGTGACAGTGGCTGTTGACCTCTGCCACCTGCTCTGAAAATGTCAATTCTCTGGCTGGTCCTTACCTCAGATAGAGGACTAGGAAGAAGAAATAGAAGGTTTTGCAGCTCCAAGTATCACTTATTTCTGCCTGGCTCTGTGGAGAGCTTATGGGTATCAAACAGTGCTGCTGTTAGTCCTGAACCAGGGCAGTTTGTTCAGGCAGGTGAGTGAGTCCCAGTGCCCAGTGTGGCTCTCCCTTGCTCTCACCTGTGCAGGTATGTTCCTCAGGCTGGCAAATGCTGAGTCAGATCTTAAGAGGATCCACTGAAGAGCTTTACTGTTCCCCTGAACTTTGGATGCAGGAGGGATGGTGGAAGGTGATGATTCTTCTCACCCATCCACTTTTCTGCAGCTGCCAGGGAGGCTGCTAGACCTGGTAGCTGAGGGATGGAAAAGAAGGGGAAAAGGGATCCCTTCCCAGCTCTGCCATGTTTATTCTCTCATCAGGGTAGGTTGTGTCATTGCATGTTTCATTGCCCACAACGTGATGAGAACCTGTCTCTGTAAGTCCCCTTTTTTACCCTCCTGTCAGCACAGAAGGTGCTGAGGGCTAGAAGTACCAGCCAGCTGGGAGGTTCCCCTCACCTCTTGCTGTTGGATCTTTTCTCAGGTTCAGACTAAGAGCAGAGCTTGCTGGAGAGGCCTTCTCCTTTCTCCAGCTAGGTCAGGCAGTGGGAGATCTGTGTGCCCATCCCCTCTGTCCCACGTACCTGGTTTCGCCTTGGTAGCCTCACTATGTGACACAAGGACAGTAGGAAAGGACTGATCCTACCTGGGGCAGCTCAGGGGCATTTCCTGGGTGGATGAGACTTTCAGAAGTAGGCAAGACAGAGCTGCTGCTGAAAATCTCTCCTTGGAGAGCCTGCTGGGATGGAAAGAGAGGGTGAGCAGCTTTGGGAGCCGCAAACACACCAGCCTCTGCTCCTGCCAAGTTCCCTGGCTGCCTCAGGGCAATTCTTTGTTTCCTTTCAGGGTACTGCAGGTGTGAAACTCCTTCTGAGCTCTACCAGAGAAGGACCCTTAAAGGGCTGTTTTCCAAACCATGAATTCGACCACAAATTAATGAGCAGTGTGGTTGTTGCTCCTGCAGTGGCTCTGCATGGAGCTGCAGCCTGGGAGACTCATCCAGATTAGTCCTGGGGCTGCAAGAGATGATGTTTATTCGGTTTTAAGTTGTGGGCAGGATGAATGAGCATTTTTAAGGTTAGAGGGGAAAAAAATGTGGCTGTGTTTAAACTCCACCTTCCCCCACAGCCTGTTGCTCCTTGCAGGGCTGTCAGTGACTTTTTTGGGGTGTTTTCTAGGTGTGAAAGGAGCTGCAGCTTTAAGCTGCACCAAGGCGGGCACCAACCTGCTTAACATGCAATAAGGGGGCCCTCCTGGGATGCTTGGGCTGGGGTTTCAGGGCTCAGGTGCTGCTTCCATGGCTCCTGAGGTGTTGATCTGCCCTCATGTTCACACTGTCTTACTTATTTTTGTAAACCAAGGAAGGTTGCAGAAGTTTACTTCTTCCATATGACTTTGGAAGGAAACAAAGTTTGGAGTACGGGGCATCCCCTTGTATTTATCCTCCTCCTCCTCCCCCCCACCTGACACACAGACTAAGAAGAGAGACAATCATTTTGTAGGGAGCAAGGGAGGAAGCACTGCAGGATTTTGTATGCTGGCATTTTGCTTCTCAAACGATTTTATGGACAAGTCTGTAAAACGTTCTCTAGGTTGTTTGTTCTGTTTGTGTTGGTTTGTTGGTTGTTTGTTTGGGTTTTTTTTCAAGCACACTAATAAAAAGCATCCTGGGCTTTGTAAAGGCAGCAGCTTCCTTTCCTGCTTCCAGTGTTATTCCAGATGCAGGGCTTGGCCACAGCTGAAGCATTTCCACAGGGTTTGTAGAGAAGCAGTGCCCACCTCCTCCCCCTTCACATTTTCCAGTGTGCCCTGCTCAGCTGCTCAGAATTCTTGTTCTGGACATTGCAAAACCCCAGTTTCCCATCTGCCCTCCCCCCTGCCACATTTTCCCTACATGTTAAGTTAATGTTTTTAACTTTCTGGGTTTTTTCAAGCTACCCAATGCACCGTTGGAGGTTAGAAGGAAGTTATTTTTGACCCTGTAGCAGCTCTGAGTGGGTACGTTGGCTGTGGTTTTGATTGCTTTAACCCTGCTGGGTGTAAGGAAGTGTCTTGCCTCCCCAGATAACTCTGGCAGCAGACTCAGGGCAGAGCCAATAGCTGCAGGCACAAGGATCTATAGCCTCTATCTGGTTAGAAAAAGGAGAAATTCTCTGAGCCCAGGAAACTGTTGGTGCCCCAAGAAAGGAGCAGGAACCAGGTCAGGCCGTTGTGCTTCTTGCGAAACAGCCCCTTGCTCAGCAGAAAGGTGTTTGTCCATCCCTAACAGCTGTTTGCTCTCCAGCCTGTTCCCTGCAGGCTCTTCCCCTGGAGCACCAGCTCACCCTCTCCCCTTCCCCTGGGACCCAGGGGTTGCCCCACCGTGTCCCCAGGGAGCTGAGTCATGCCTGTGCTGGACCCAGCCCTGACGCTGCAGTTCCCAAGCAGAAGGGCTG